GGGTCATATTGTCTTATTTTCACATTTCTTACGATGAGCCGGACGACTGATGACACCTGGCGGGACAACAGTAGCTATGAAGCAACTGAGCAATACTCAATGCATACTTTCTATGTAAAAGACATAGCTTCGTGCTTTACCTCAGTGATCATCGTTTATTATTGTAAATTTAATATTATATGTCGCTTTAAAGTGCGAACTGTGAATCCATCCATGTACTGATATCTATTGTAGCCGTTTGAATTTCTCCACGAACATGACAATCAACCCACACATCATTCGTCCCAGTCAGACTCATCAGAAGAATTATCCCATTCCACATCATCCAGTATATGGGTTTTAGATGAATTAACCAATGTTTTTTGTCCGGTTGTAGCGATATGGAAGTGAGGAGCTGCGGCATTAATGTCTAGCTTTGCCTGCGTCTTTTTAGCTTTCTGTCGAGTGCAATGTGCGCACATTCCATTTGCTTGAAGAAGTTGGAATCCCCATCCACCACATACTGAGCAACGCTGTCTCATTTGAGCAGAATCGATAATAAATGCGAGACGAAGTCGGTTACAATGCGCACAGACGCCATTTCTTTCCACTAGACCCACGCCAACACCCTTACAGCATTCGCACTTAGTAAGTTCTGGAGCAATCTGCTGACTAAATGAACCTTCGTAGTCTGCACCGTACGATACTAAGGCCATTGTTCCATTTGTCGAAGATGGAGTGATTGGTGAAATCGACTGAGTTTCTGAAGGTATCATTCCGTATCCATACACAGGCATTGGCATGATAGGCGGTGGTACGAACGGATGGTAGTGTCCGTGTAGCGAAGGTGGTTGCGGTAGCATCATGACGTACGGATACTGAGAATACATTCCACTATTGGATAGCAACTGGCCTGGTACTGGCTGACCAAGAACCGGCTGACCAACCGGCTGACTGTTCTTGAAGTACCATGCAGCGTAATCTGAGCTGGGAGCTAAGTTAGTGCTGCCAGCTACGTCTTGCTTCGAGATCTTGTCTGAAGGCTGTTCGCCATTGGTACTTTCTAAGTTGTGAACAGAAAATGCCGCTTCCATTTTTGCCATCCGCCTTCTTTCACGGCGAAGATGCGTTTCTTTTGCGCGGGCATCTTCTTCTTTGACGCTACTTGAAGAGCGAGTTCTTGTCTGTGATCTCGACTCTGACCTACGTCGCGATGGTTCTGATGCCACCTTACTTTGTACTGTCGCACCATTCACTTCTGTAACCACGTTTTTTTCACGCTTCTTGTGATCTTGGTGATCTGCTCGCTCATTAACCTTCTGGACTAAAGCAAGATCCAAATATTCACTGTGCTCACCTTCTACAGTGTCCTCAGAACTATTTGTTTGCCTGATTTCATTTCGTCCATCAAGTTGAGTCAAGCTGTTACGACTGTTTTTGTGACGACTCCTATGTTCTATGCTTTCAGACGATGAAAAAACTTGATCGTCGCCAACCGACACAATTGGCATGTCTACAGTAATTGAAGCATTGTGTTCAAGACTAGACTTTGCATTGTTAGAATCAAAATCACGGCCTGCGTCTTCCTTCTCCACTTCCTTCTCCACTCTTTTTTTGCGCTTTCTCCGCATCTTTTTTTTTTCCTGCTCGTGCTGCAATTCCAGCTCTAGCTGCCTCGAAAGCTCTTGTTCTTGTTGTTGCTGTCTCTCCTTTTCGTTTATTTCCTCCATCTCCTTCTGCATTTCTTGTTGTTTGCGTTGCACCTCAGCCTGTTCTTGTTCCTCCCAATCTACTCCCTTCTCACTGCCATCGCGCTGTTTCTCTTTAGGCTTCACTATGACGCCCTTCTTTTTCAAATTGTTAGCGACTTCGGCCATAAAGTCGTCACCAGCAAGGCTCTCCCTATTACTGATCATATTCTCCTGCCTTTTCTTCCGTAAAAAACGTAGCCGCTCAGCTGCACTCATTCCAATTGTCTCGGCCTCATACTGCTCTTCAAGAGATTGTGTTTCTATCGCTGGAGAGGTTTCAAGCGCTTGACTTTGCCTGGTTTCAAGAATGGCAGGTGGTTTCAGTGCTCTCATCATGCTTTCTCGAAGACTTCCTTCCAGCGAAGCCTGCAGCTCTTGAAACATGGAATTCTTAGGCTTGGGCGTTGCACTAGCGTCTGTCTTGCCTATCGCGCTCTTGTGGCTTTTTAAATGCTCTTTTTGAGTCTTAAATGAATATTCTTGAGTCACAGACGCTTCTTGATTCACACCTTCGTCGTGTTCAGAAGACTGTTCAATATTTAAGGCAAGGGTTCGCTTGGTTCCTTTCGGTCGCTCGTTCTCAATCGGCACTTCCCACCTACTCTCCTTTGTTGCAGCATTATAATAGTACGGATGTCCATCAGGTGAAATATATTGCTTCCATTCGTTCACTGGAGCATTGTGCCGCCGCGAGGACGAGCTCTTCCTCAACTTTTTCGTTGACGACATATTGCTTTTCGGATGAGACATCGTACTTAGTACAATGATAGCTGAACTTCATAAAGTTCAAGATAAGAGTCAGACTTAATTACTCGTTAGTGTTTAAAATGTCTGAACCATATGGGCCGTTGGTGTAAGCATCAAATTGTCATTGAAACTTGTGCCTCAACCTTTTACTCATTCTACTAATTGTTGGAGAAAGGCTAAATCCTACCACAACGTATTGTTCTTCGAGAAGAACTGCTTAGATGTTGAAATCATTAAAAAACAAAATCACTATTTTATTTCGTAATGGAGTACATGATGAGACCGCCACTCACTGCCATAGCTGCAATAAGCGCAATCGCAATGAGTTGATCCTTAATGACAGTAATCCATGCCTTGAGTGTTTCATGCTTGGCTAACTTTGCATTGGCCTCTACGACTGTCGGGTTTTCCTTTATCTTGGTCTTGACTTTTCCGACAAATGGAATATTTTCTTCGAGTTTCTTCATAAAACTAGTCCCTCGCTCCTCATCTACCAGTCCGTCCACGATAATGTTGCTGCTCCTGAAATGTTGCTTCAGATTGCTTCTGCTGTTTATTTTTTCGATCTCATTAGCTCCATAAGAGTGCGCTTGAAAGGTCAAGAGCACCACAAGCGTAAGCAAAAAGAGAGGCATTGACCTTAAAGATATGTGACAAGATAATTGTGCTGCGCATGAAGGTGGGATGGGTAAAATCTCTTAAGGATTTGAAATTAACTGAACTCTACACAATTATCAAATATATTTCTGCATAGTGACTTATTGGCTGAAAAAATGGTACTTTACCGCATTCAGATACACCATATTACTGTTATATTCTGAGAACACATCGTATGATATATACGATGTGTAACGACGTCGTTATTAGAGATGGTATGATATAATACCATCTCTAATAACGACGTCCACGACCTCCACGGCCACGGCCGCCGCGACCGCTTCCACCTCCACGCCCCCGTCCCCCGACGCTCTGCTGACGTATTTGATACGCCGACTGCTGCAGCTTCGGCAGTGTCTTTGGAATCGAGTAAGGGCAATTCATGCCACTCTCTTCGATTTTTTTTTCAAGTGCTTCTAAACCGGCTATTGGCAGATCAAAGCAAACGCCCATCGAGTCCTCTGTAATTGTTAGCTGCTTGATATCATTTGCAATGCTTTCAGGAATGTCACGGTTAAGCGCATTCCAAACGTAGCCCTTAGCCCGGATGAAGTTTGAGCTCGTGAATAATACCGTCACGTAATCTGGTACTCCTGACATGAGCGATGTGCGCCGAGGCGGCTTCGTGTGGCCTGTAATGCAGGCTAGGGCAGCAGCTAGGCATGCTTCCGGCTTCATTGTCTCGAGCATTTCACTAGCCGTTTCTCGAAAAATCTCAATCATGGCAGGATCAACATTGATAATCTCCGCCAATGCCTTGGAAGCAGATGCCTTAAGTAGATCATCCTGGTGCGGTGGATCTTTCATAATAAACTTGTTGCCAATCTTGCGTTCAATCATGTCCAGTTGATCACGCTGGCGATTCGTGTAAAGAGTAATGCAAATTCCCTTTTTACCGGCACGACCTGTCCGACCAGATCGATGTACGTATGTGTCAACGTCAGCCATACCTGACATCTTGCGGGGAGGTTCCGAGTTGATAACAAGGTCGACGTTCATGTCAAGCCCACGAGCAGCAACATCCGTGGCTATCAGCAATCGCAAACGACCCTCGCGAAAC